CTGATTGCATGTGTAAGGGCTGGTATAACTCGTTTATTGCAGCCATGTATCTTCTGTCACAAGGTAAATTTGTTGCTGCTACATCAAAGGTCTGTGCTAGTTTTTTCTTCATATCCCTCCCTCCTTCTCACTTCCTCTTGATCCCCCAAACTCAGCTACCTCGCCTTGGGGATGCATTTCAACTTCTTTTGCATCACAATGATGAACCTGCACTGTCCTCGCAATTTAGCAATCTTCTCCTGTAGGTGTTGTAAATGCAAGTGAAAAAAAAAAGAGGAGGCAAGATTGGAAGCAAAAAAAATAAATAGAATGAAAATCTTGTTTTCTGGTTACAAAAGCAGTAACCGAGGGTGTTTGACTTAAATGCGCTGACTTTCTTTTTTCTTTTGGTCTCATAGAATCAACACAGGTTTTCTCATGAATAACATAATATTTTTCCCCTTCGTTGTGATTTTTATTTTCTATTTTCAGATGAAACCAGAGGGGATGCAGTGTAAAAATGTGCTCCTAAATGTAAATGTGAAAACGCTTGGTTTAGCTGTATGCTTAAACATAAGCTCACCTACACTGGGAGATGAGCGTAACAGCCCTTTTCAGCCTTGCTCCAAAAGAAAGACAGTACATAGATGAGTGCCACAGAAGAGATGATCTTGGCTCTAAAAATGTGCTGGATCTGACCTTTAAAACTGAGACGATTCAAGAGATGGACCAGTTTCAACAAAGTCTTTACAAAAATGATAAAAATGACCAAAATTCCAACTACAAGATTGGAGCAATACAGCAGAGTAGTTGCTATTTTTACAAGAGGTCATCCCTATACTGGCTTTACTCCACAGCATAAAGACTTGACAATAAATATGAGAACATAAAGTTGCTTGTCATATGTTTTTAAGTATGGTTTTGCACTTAATCAAATTTTTGTCTAGATTCTAGTCTAGTCATTTCTAATAGTCAGTGATATGCTTGAGAGGTCTAAAGTCAATCCTCAGTGTGGTTTGGAGCAGAGTTCAGACTTTGGAGGAAGAAATTTGACCATGTGTTGTGTCAAATAGCAATGATTCAAAGTCTGTATAGTCTGAGCTCAGGAAATTAATATTGAAAGCATTTTAATAAAACATTTTTATGTATCAATATGAGGAAAAAAAAGCCCTAAGTGTCCAAAAAATGCTGCTAACTGGTTCCTGTATCCCACTTAGACCCATAGGTGAACAGTATATTAGATGAATGAACAAAATTAACACCTTTCCTCTCCATTCATTCTTTTTTATTCTTACTAAACCTGGACAGATGAGAGCGTGGCTAGTTAACGGTCACAGCTTGACAGTGTGAAGGGGGAAGTGGTAGGAGTTGCTACACTTGCATTCAGGTTGGGGAGGGATAAGACTTAGCTACACAGGGGCGGCTCTGGGTGTGACATCACATTGTCAGGACCCTCGTGTGACATGCTCACAAGCTGGGGTCAGAGGTCACGGGCCGTTTTGTGTGTGTGCAGTGACACACAATAAGAGCCGTAGGGTAAGACACCAGGAGGCAGGAAGTGGGGTCCTTAAATCTAACATTAATCAATCAGCCTTAAGTAGATATAGACCAACATCTAAAGCATTCCACCAATGTTATTTAGGTAACTAGGGCTGCAACGATTAATAGGAATTCTCATTATTTGTCATCTATTAAAATAATTGCAATTGAAATTTGTATTTTATTTTAATCAGAACTGTTATCTAGACTATGCAGATTCTAAAGCACACACCAAAAACCTTTTATGACAAAGACAAGGGCACTATTAGATCAAAATGCCAGAAAGAAGAAACAATTTTGGATTTTCACCATAAATACAATTTTAAATATTATCTTCAGTCACCACATTTCAACATTTATTTGGTTAAAAATGTATTTAATTATCTCAATATATAACCGTTATTTGACTAATTCACTATTCATCAATCAAAAAAATAATCGCTGACTAGTCAACTACTCAGACAATGATGTTAATTGCAGCTCTAAATGTCACCATATGAGTTAAAAAGCATTTGTTTTGACATTGAAACAAAATAGTTTGGTCAGAAATAAAAATGGAGAATACTTTTTGGAAAAAGAAATAATGATGACATGTGGATATGTGGATGCTGGCTAGGCACAACCTCTGCACTGAAAGTCTGCCTTCAAATTTATATTAAGCAATGCAAGGTACGTCAAATATAAAACTTAGCGACTTTAGGATACCTGATGTTTGTGCATGGACATATATAGAATAGGCCACTGTGAGGTTGCATTATGTATGTATGTGTGTGCACAAATGAAACAACTGTCACATTCAAAGGCCTCTGTAATCCTGTCTGCTTCTCGTTGTCCGCGTTTCTTTATTTGTATTCCAAATGTCAGTGTATAAATGCCTTTCAGAGGGGGATATTGCCACAGAGAAGAGGTAGACAAGGGGAGAGAGAGCAGCTCACCGAGGCTGTTGTGTGCCTTGGGAGAGCCGTGTATGCAGAATGGCACAGGCTCAGGGATTTACAGGGAGAAATAGGTGTTTATTGAGTGCTCCCGTGGGCTTACTGTGTAATAATAGACCTGTCACATTACGCAAATGTGGAGAAGCAGCCTGTGTGTGTTTGTGTGTTTGTGCCTCTGTTTTTTAGCATGCCTGCCTCCGCATCATCAACTCCTGAGTAGCAGCGATGAGAGAGCGGATGGAATTAGTCAGCCGAGAGCCTTTAGCTGCTAATACGCGTAATTAAAACTGCAAGCTGAGGCACTTAGATTCTTGTGTACTAAATAATTTACATGCCACGATCTATGGATCATTTCCCCGCTCTTAAATACCGAAGATGGGGAACAAGAGGAAAAAAGACTGGCAGAGGATTTATCAGTATCTGTGCCATAAGCGGGATGTCATGGTAATATTAATCCTTTCTACTGTGCTAATCGTACAAGGGGATCAATCCGCTTGATTCAGCTTGTGGAAAACATGTAACTAGATTGCTATTGACTCATCAAGCCTTAGAGCTAATAAAATACTGGAGTACGGCAACCACTGTGGCCCGATAATCTCAGTAAATAAAGCAGATTTACATGGTAAACTCCCCACGGACATGATAAAAACTCTGGTCTGAGGTGCAAAACCATAATAATAAGAATGGCTACTGTTGATAAAATGCTGAGCGGATTAAAAGTCCCACCGTAACTGTCCTGATCATGTAGCACCCGTGTTTGTGGTGATATTCCCTGTAAGTAGGGCTGGGCACTCTGGTGATGAAAACCAAATTGAGATCCCCGACAATCTGCTACTTTGATCATATCGGCATATTGTGAGTCACGATTTCTCTACTTAATGGAGCTGTCTGCCCAAACACAGATGCATTTTAACTTGCTCCTCCTGTAGGTCTGACTGAGTGACAGCTGGTTTTAACCAATCACAGTCAAGTGGGATTTTTTAGCAGAATCAAATGCCTTCATTCACCTTTCAAAAGTAAAGGAAAAGTACTTGAATTGTGATTAAATCTAAATCATGATCTGGTGCCATGAAGATTTCAAATGGAATATTTTGCCATATCACCCACCCTGTGTATAAGGACTTTTTAGGGACAAAGAGGGGACGTGTTAATAAAGGCCGGATCAACAGATGGATTAGCAGGAGACGAGGACACCCTCAGCAGCCCTTCCATTCATATTGATTCATATGAGGCAAGGAAGGGGTAAGCAAATGTAAATATCCAATATTTACCATGGGCTGCTGTTATTAGAGGCAGGGGCTTGGACATGAGATGACAGCCACACTGTTCTCTTTCAATATTGTTCTTCCTGCCATGTGTGTATTGCACTTGGAAAGCTATGCAGCCATTTGTAGATCAGGACCAGCTGTTTGTATCTGTTCACTAAACACAAGATGCACAGTGAACCTAAACCTAAAGCTGCACACATATATTTATACACAACAACTTCAAGAGCTACAAAAATAATAAATAAAACTATTTCATAAAATGTTTACTTGCCACAGTGGTGTACAAATACGATAACAATGCTTATGATGAAATATTTAAAGGCACGGAGTTCTTCGCTACCGTAATTAGGTACACAGGGGTGCGACTTCAATTGGAGGTGTTGCCATTGTTAGACTCTGTGAAAATATCAACGGGTGAGGTTAATGCCAATTTCCCTGTCATTAATGGAATGCACAGAGCCCCTAATGAGCTAAAGCATTGCTCCTTGATAATACTTATTAGCCAAAAGGAGGCCACAAACTCACACACTTCCATTTCAAACAGCTAAAAATAAACTGCGTACAAAAAGCAGTAATAAAAAAAAACAAAAAAAACACAGGGCATACGATGAGGTGCTTTATATAATCAGTGGTAAAAGTGTTGTTGACTAAAATGTGTGATTTGACAGTGTGGCGCGAAGCTTAACACCATAAAGGCAAGGGAATGCAGGTGCCGTATGTGCACTGTGATAATACATATGTGTGATCGCTGTGTGCCTGTGTACAAGTGTGACCTTTTCCAAATCACTGACAACAGAAATAGACAGCTTTACGAATCAATAAGGTAAATTAGCGTTGCAGAGTGGATGACAGGCAGTTAAAATTAGCTGTCTGTGTGAGCTACTACTCAGCCTGACATGTCTTTCATATAATAACTCTCCTTGTCAACAATGTTATAGATGCACAGATTAAAGATGTCCTCTCATTTGTCAGTCTATCATATGGATTTTAGATCTGCTTGGGAGAGTAATTGTCCATTTCCAAAGATAAGTGAGCATCAAGTGACAGGAGGGGAAATAATACCAGAAATGATGGTGGCCTTTAATAAAACTTGTGTTTTCTTTGTGCCTATGTGACGCTTAGCTTCCCAGGGACCGGCTCGTGCGGCTTTTGGATTCCAATGACAGGTCCGAGGATTGCACTGGCAAATCAAACACACTTGTGGAGCAGAGGAAATGTTCTTTTCGGAGAGGCATGTATTATGGATGGACTTAAGAGATTAGACGGGGAGCTGCTTTACCTGCAGTGGACGCTGCTTGTCCTGGCTCTTTGGAGATTTCAGGCCACTGCCTGGCTGCTGCAAGAGTAATTGCCTCGCTGCTTGTAGGGCCTGCGAAGAAAAGAACACAAGACAAAAGACGGTAAGAAAAAGAGAGAAAGGGAAGATGGGAAGGTGTAAAAGAGGCAGTAAAAATAAACTATTACAATTCTCAAAGACGACAGCGAAGATAATTCAAATTCCTATGGACAATACACTCCTCTGTGTGTAAAACTCAGTCAAAATTCCCCAGTTATTTGCTCAAACAGATTCTGACACGGTTAACAGTATGCTGAAGATATGTTTTAGTAACAATTCACAGTCCTGTGATCAAGCATAAATACAGTTTGTCTAGAGCGCCCTGAAGAAGAGCGTGGAGGAGGGAGGGTGACTGAAAAAGGAGGCATCAGCATCACTAGAATTGACCTGTCTAGTGTGTGCTCAACTGAAATACCCACTTCTCCCTGCAAATTACTGCCACATTTGCATATTCATAATATCAATTTGAAGTAGAGGCAGCACCATGTGAAGTGTCCCTGGGAGCTGTAATTAAAGTTGACAAAATCAACATCAGATTACATTTAGAGTGAATTAACCAGCAGCACCGCTTTTACACTATGCATTAAGAGTGCTTATGAGCAGTGGTGACGAGCGATAGATACAGAGAAGGATGGTAATAAATAAGTATAAAAGATTCAAGACCGATCAAATAAATGCAATAATGTAGAAAAATCTGATTCATCAACTGTTAATGTCCTTTCACACATTTTGGACTTCAAAATAAAACATTAAGGGTGCATTTGCCTGGAATCTTCCACAGTATGGCAAATAAACTCCATGGTAACAAGCACATGGCCAAGTTATAGATCAGAACTGTGGAGAGGCAAGCCCACTCAGAGTAAGAATGTATTCTTTTCTAAGCCAGTATAGTTTAGTACCATAGTCCGGAACATTCAAGGCAAAGCAATAATATGACTGCACAAACGGGAGGGTAATGGACACTCCACCACAAAAGTTACGCAGTGCACCATTAAAAGTAGCATTCTCTTAGCTAGGACTGTATACCCCTCCCTCCTAAATCTGTTTGTGACAAGCGAGTTGCTGTCTCTTCACAGGTAACAGTGGCAGCTGGGTGAGCTGCCTTCTCCAAGTCTTCAAGCGCAGACGGATGAAAGGGCCTGGCAGAAAGAACATTGTGCACAGCTGCTGCTACTACCTCTGCCTCGCGCCTTCTCTGGGCCCACGAGCATCAAGTGGAAGCCAAACACAACACAACAGACAACAACTTCACACAGAGGAAAGAAAAAAAGCAAGGGGCGTCGAGAAGGAGAGGCAGGAGATGTTAAAAAATAGTGAGGAGGAGAGTGACACTTCTTCAGGAATCAGGGCTCATTTTATTTTCCTGTGCTTGCCAGTATCCATGACAACAGCTGCCTGACAGGGCGTGCATATGGCGCCGCTCTGCCAGCTGGTGGGAACAATGTTTGAACTAGTACATTGAGATCCTGAGCAAACAAGAAGAGAAGACAGGAGGAGAGAGAGAAAATGAGGAAGACGAAGAGAAAAAAAAAAGTTGCCACGTCTTAACCCCTTGGGATGCACAGCCGCCCTCCTGATCAATTATGAAAAAGCCAGTGCTCGGGGAGGTGGTGCTGGAGGTTGGGGGGCTCTGTCTGTCTGGCTGCTGCTTGAGAGGAGACAGGCTTTCTGAACTCACGTAAACAAACACATTACACTGCCACTGAGTCCTAACGCCATTGATCCGTCTGCTCGGGACAGGAGCCCAGTCGCCACCCGCTCATGTGCGTGTGTGATGTGTGTGTACAAAGTGTGTGTGTGTGTGTGAGTGAGGAGAGAGGTGAACTGGTACACACATGCACAATGGTAAACCAAGAACTGATTTTGTATAAGGAAGAAATGCAAAGTAAGCATGGGTTAGTGGGCTAGTGATATCTTCATAACTTTCCCTCATTCAAAACATATAATATATTTAGGGGTTATTGGTGATATCAGTAAGTTTCAATATTGACCAATGATCAGTACTGATTGATATTTTTTCTGCCACACTCTGTATGTATCCATTCCAGTTAATCTTCAATGCATCAGATTTGTCAGAATAATGTAAAAAGGGCTGTATGTTGTACGCAATCATGCAACAAATGATTTTAGATTTTAGAAACACATTCATTTCATTACGTACCAAGTTAATTTGCGAGCTGCACTCAGCCCCAATAGCAAAGCAAATATCGAATATTCAAGCTAAAAAAATCCATATTACACCATCCCAAAATATTTTTGTTTTGAATATTTAATTGTTATGGCAACTGTGCTATTTTTTATCACTCTGAAATCCATGTGTCGCAAAATGGTTATAAATGTATTATACTTACAAAAGGGTTGTAATGTTATGATCAAAACATTAATTTGACCTGAGCAATAAGCAGGTTTAGGCAAGCACAATCCACTTTCATCATCAGTAATTATGTCTTTACGCTGTTTTTAAGTCAAGACTCAATTTTAATCTAACAGTTACATCATCTCCTCATGAGTTCACAAAGGCCACGAGGTGAGACATGACTCTGCAAGTGCAAATGCAGCTGTATTCCCATGCACCTCAAAGCACCTATAGAACTAAACTTTTGCCCCACTGAGCCACTCTCAATGAAAAAACAAAGGTTGTCTTCGTCTCTGGGGAACTGCTTTAAATGGGAGGAGAAAAAAATGCAACTTAACACTTCCTGCCTCAATACAAAAGACTAAACAAATTCCTTGAATGCAGCCAATCACTTTGCTAATTAAAACACAGGGGCTAATTAATCTCACCATGATTGGTGAATCAAAGTAATTATAGGGCTTATTGAGTCCTGCACACAGTAGTTAGAGGGAAGACTGCTTGATGAGTGCCGCCCTAGGTAGCTGTCAGGAGGAAATGTTTATCCATGTGTGAATCAATAATGACGCGCTATGCTGAACCCAAAGTCAAGAGAGGCACTCCATTTATTACATGCGGTCAAAAGAGTTTTAAAAGCACTTCCAATATCCACAGCAGGTAAATACACAGGGAGGAGCAGCTCTGAGAGGTGACGAAGAGCAGAAACACAAGCCAAGCAGACCCAGCTTATTAGCCGCCAAGTCTGCAGAGGCTGCATATTCCCGACATAACACAGACCTTATCAACACCGGCCAAACTTTTCAGAGAGCTTTGTCATGCCTGAAACTGTCACCTCCACTGTAGAAGTGGGGTTAGCTGTGTTTGTGAAAGAGAAAAGAAAAGTTCTGTCCCCTCTTTTTCACTGTTCAGAGTATTCAGCCATTACAGCAAAAAGCTCCAATTTGTGCCACCCACTTTCCACTCCACGTGGATGGCAAGCAGAAGCCCATCTCCAAGCACAAAAAGCTCCAAATGCCAAGAAAAGTCATCAAAAGTTTGTTGAAGAGCTGGTGAAGCGGACAAAAACACAGAGGCGAGTGGCGCACCATCTATTTAACCTGGGTTGCTATGCACAAAAAAATGACATCCTCAGTCTATTAATGCACACATTGTATAAACAGCACAATGTGACACATTCTTCAGAATGAGTCGACAGAGAGAGAGGAGAGAGAGCAAGGCCCCTCTATATAAATAACAAGGCACTCAGAGGCATATTTGATGTTGATATCCATCACTGAGGTTGGAAAAGAGGAAAAAAATAAGAGAGGGAAAATAACACACAAAGCAGGCGAGTGCGCGACACAGGGATCCTTATGAAAATAAGATTCAGCCCAAATGGATGTGGTGTAATTGGTTTCAGATAGTGAGGTCAGGAGAAAGGCGATACAGGCAACTATTATGCGAAACGGACGGAGAAACAAGAATGTTTACACAGGCATTCCTCTGCTACATTAATAGGCATGCAGAGATCACTGGAGAGGCAGACGAGACTGACATAGAGGAAGGAGAGAAAAACCACCAGCCAGCCATTCAACTCCCCCAGTGCTCTGTTTAGACTCAATACAGAGCAGGGTAATAAGGAACACCCGTCACAATGCACCTTTGGAAAGAGCATGCAAAGATCTTAAACAAGCATGAAATACATTAGTGCGTCCGGCAACAGAGGCGCCGACCATTACAAATCCACAGATTGCTTATTGTGTGCAGAGGGGGAGGCAGAGACGGGCTGGTTGGGGAAATAAGCCATCGACTAAGAATGTCACTCTTTCAAATCCACCTGGAGACCGCGATCTGCCGCCATGACATTGGAATTGGATACATCAGACGTGCTGTAACATTGTGTTTGGACAGTGCAGATCAGCGCCTGGCCCAGGTCATGTTGGGAGTTGGTGTTTATTAGGCGACACGATGATGACACAGGTGTGAAATAAGCTACAGGTGCATTGTGGGAGACTCGAGTTGTGGTACTTGCATCAAAAGCTAGTCAATAGGAAAATATATTGCATCAGTGGTGGGCTTAACAGCTGGAGTGTGTGTGTAACCTTGTGTATATTTATTAGTAAATGGCTGCAGCTCAACCCCAGGCTGTTGGCCAGAACAACTCCAGTCAAGCTGACAGATTTGACAACTAGCACACACTTTTGTATTGTGTTGAAGCAAGGCAACAGCAGGCTTATCTTTCTAGTGACTGGAGGAAGGAAACCATAAGGAAAAAAAGTGACAATTTATCAATCTGGGAGTCACATTCCAGGGAAAACAAGCCACAAACAGTTTAAGCTGAACAAACAAACATGGCTGATTGGAGTGAGGGCCCCTGGCAAGGAAGATATGCTCTGGCAGTACACGCCAAAATATTTACACCCCATCTCGTGTTATAAGGGGATTCTGGGTGGATGGATAAAGATTCGGAGGGGGCGGATGGAGAGGATCGACAAATGGGAAGAGAGGGGGGACAAGTTACAAGATATACAGGATGCAATGTGCTGAATAAAAGTGAGGAAAGAAATATGATGCAACAAGTTTTACAGCAGAGTATAACACAGCAAGTACAACACAAATGCCAAAGAGGATAACCTAAAACTGACATTTGTAGAGTCTCTGTGCATTGGTGTTTAAAACTCAGTAAAGTTATAGACTGCTA